GGGGGGATATGGAGCAAGGTGGACAAAGGAGAAAGAGGGAGGAATAATATGATTATATTTTAATTGAATATTAATAAAATTAAATAAAATATCAGGGGTTTGAAGGAGGTATTATTTTTAAAGTAGTATTGGATCATGGATCATCAGTTGGACTTGGTGGCTCACACCCTTCTTTTGATAAAGCGTGGGAGACCTTGGCAGATTCCATGGCAGCTGTGGGTGACCAAGGCGGAGGGACAAACATGCCAGGCAGACAGAGCTTAAGTGAGAAGTTTTATTAGAATGGGAAGTGGCCAGGAAAAAGAAAAGAGGAAAAGAGAGACAGAGACAGAGATAGGACAGAGGAGAAGAGGGATACAGGAAAAGTCCTGTCTGCCCCAGGGGTCAACAGGAAAGAACAGGAAAGAGAGAGTGGAAGAAGAGAGGCAAAAGGTGGAAAGAGAGAGGGAAAGAGATTATTAGTGGGCAGGGGTCTGACTTTTAAAGGGGTCCTTTACACCTGCTTGCAGACTAGTACTCATGGAACCCTGGGCTGACCAGAGTACTGCCTGAGTGCATTCTGCCAGGTGACAGGGGCAGGCCAGCGTAATGCCTGAATCCTTACAGCCCTTAATCCCAGCACTCGGAAGCCAGAGGGAGGTGGATCTCTGAGTAAGAGGCCAGCCTGGACTACAGAATGAGTTCCAAGACACCAGAGAGAACTTCTTGTTTGGTTGGATGATAAGCACGTGTCCATAATGCCAGTGCACCAATTATTAAATACACATTTTTACATTGTTGAGTACTTCTACTATGGCAGTTATTTATTTGATTTGTTTTGAGACATGGTATGTCTATGTAGGCTTGGCTGTCCTGGAACTAGCTTTGTAGATCAAGCTGGCCTTGAACTCACAGAGATCTGCTTGCCTCTGCCTCTGGAGTGCTGGGACTGTATTCTGACATCTTCCCTTTTTTATTTTTTTAAATGCTTTATGTCCACAGTGGTTTTGATTCCAGATGTTGATAAATGTAATTGTCATTTAATGCATGAGTTAAGTCTCAAACCCTGGCACTAATGGCTGAGGTGCCTATTTAACATATCAAAAACCTCCAGGTTATATGGCAGCATCCCTCAGTCCCTACCTATTACAGGGTATGGTTGGCATACCTTAATTTCTACCCTGAACTCTCTAGCCCAGGGAATGAGCTGCCCTTCCCTATATAATCTAGCCATTTTGCTTACCTATCCCTTTTTAAAACTTTTTTCTCTTGGTTGCTGCACCTGGTTCCCCCTATTCCTCCCATGGCCACCCCTGCTCACATAGCTCAGTGTCTTATCCACTCTGGACTCTCCCAGATATCTCGGTCAAGTGTTATGTCAGGATGAATTCCAGGCCTGTGTGGCAGCAGAAAGATCCAGCCTTTAATGGACTAGTGAACTGAACCTTGAAGAACCATTCAAAGGAATATTTATTATTACACAAAGTTTATTTGTTTGTTTTGGTAAATAATTCCTCATTCCAAAGTCCCCGACCCTCTCTGTATGTTTCTCTGAAGGAAAACATTACACCTACTCACTTTCTTCTTTATTGTATACCCAGGAATTCAAGAGCTCCAGGTGTGCCCAGAGTGTCTTGTGACTGATGTCATGCAAAGGCTGTAAAGCTGCTTCAGAAAAACAACTCTGTAAGTCACAGAAAACAGTCACTGATTTCCACCAAAATTTCTTCAAGGTCAAAGTACTTCTAGCAAACAACTATTCTGTAACTATTCTGTTGTAATGCTTACCCCTGATACAGTGACTCTGCTAGAGTCCTACAACATCTTTGCCTCTGCTATGCTCTCCCTTTTATCTACAAACTTTCTCTTCTTCTACTACTCCTACATACCCAGGAGTAGTAATGTCCTTTCTTCTTCCTTCCTTCCTTTCTTTTTTTCGTTCATCTGGTGCAAAAACCAAGCTGCTAGCAATAGACTCTGGGAGACTCTGAGAATGGCGCTGGTTCTTTGAAACATCAAATCAAAGCCAGTCTCCAGTGACACACCTCCTCCAACAAGGCCATGCCTCCTAATCCTTCCCAAACAGTTCCAATTGGGGGACCAAGTACTTAAACATATGAGCCTGAGGGGCATTCTCACTCAAATTGCCACACTCTTGTGCAGATCAACAATGAAAAAAGAGCAGGCAAAGCAAAATTAAATTGAAAAAAAAAATGTATAGTTCAAAAAAAATGTATAGTTCAAGAGAAAAACAACATGGAGTATATTGGCTTAAATGAGAATGGCTCCTATTGGGATTTGAATATTCAGTCCCCAGTAACAGGTGCTCTTTAGGAAGGTTTGGTTTTTCCTTATTGGAGAAAGTATGTCACTGGAGTTCATGTCTCCTAATCCTTCCCCTCTGTCACCATGGATACTCTCTGTCAATAATACCAAATAATCTTTCTCTTCTCTATGTTGCCTTGTTCATGGCGTTTTATCATGGCAACAGAAAGTAACCAATACAACTGGCATCACTAAAGAAGACAAGCATGAGAGGAGAAATTTTTTTGATAATTTGTGTATTAGGGTGACATCACTAACACATAGACCCGTATTTTTGGAAGCTGACACTGTATTCCCCATGAGAAAGGGATAGTGACAACAGTATGTGTGGTTCAACTTTTGTCTTCTTCAAACTATTGACTCGATCCTTTAAGATGCTGTAAACATCAGCTATGCAGGTTGTAACTGGAATTAACAAAAATAATTCATGAAACTAAAATATAATTCCATGCAGGGCACATGTATTTAGTCCCAGCACTTGGGAGGCAGAGGCAGGTACATTTCTGAGTTTGAGTCCAGCCTGGTCTACACAGTGAGTTCCAGGACAGCCAGGGCTACATAGAGAAATCCTGTCTTGAAAAAAAAATAAAAATAGGTAAATAATAAGTAAGTAAGTAAATCAACAGAATTCTATCATGTAGATGCTTGGAGTTGAACACAGGTTTTCTGAACAACTAGTACTTTTACCAGCTAAATAGTCCCACCAGACCTCACTGTCTGGAAGTTTACTGCACATTTAATCACAGATATACATTGTATTCTAAAAGCCTTCATCTGACAAATTATTACAACAACAATTTGTATACTTCTCTACCTTTTATTATTCTCTACCTTTTCTAGAAAGCTATATTTAACTATGTAGCCCAATTAGAAATCTTTTGTGTGGAAGGACTTGGCAAAGGAAATATATTAACTAGAACAGTTTGGTAATGTTTTGAGAAAATACTCTGATATACCATCATTTCCAACATGTTAACTTTTTTTTTTAACTTTAAGAAGGCTTAAAAAGAACAGGTTCCCATTCTGAGGCCTTAAATACAAAAAGACCTTAAGAAAGACTTGAGAAAACATGTCAAAAGGGAGATTTTATTGTAATTTTCAAGTCTGAAAAATATGAGTACATAAAAAACTCACTTTAGTCCATATATGAGAAGTTCCAGCCATTTAAACATTATAGGGCTGGAGTTATACAGTATTGATAAAGTGTCAAAATGGTTCAATTTTGTTATTTCTAGTTGTACATAGCTCTTAAGATTGTTTTCCAACAGAAAGGGTAGTACTTGAGCATTTTAGTTGTTTTTGCTGAAGACATAGTTTAGGAAAAAACAAAACAAGAGTAATCATACTCTAAATAGAATTGTAAATTTTGATAAGTACTGACATAAGCCAGGGGTATAAGAGCAATTTCACCGCCTCCTATTTAATTCCATTTTAATAATACATTAATTAGAAATATAATGTATATTTCTGAGCCAAAGTAAATTACTAGATTTAAAATTGAGTGATAAAAATGTAATTTTCGTTGTACTGGATGTCAAAACTATAATATTTAGCTTAAAATAGTTAAAAGTTGCAAAGAATTTTAAAGTTTAACTAAAAATTAAAAGTACATTTGTCTTCAGAAGCTAAGGCATAAAATTAGTGAATTTGCTCCTTTGAAGTTAATCATGAAGGTCTTTCCTCCTTTTTTTTCTGTTTATTTAACCACAGGCAGAAATGTTTTAATATTGATTTTTTTTATCCAGTGCCATACAAAAGCAAATTATAAAATTAAAGACAAGTTTAAATAGTAGGTAATACAGTTGACAGTACAAAAATCAGATGGGAAAACTATTCACATCGGTGGTAGGTAGTATACAGAAGTCTTTGGGCCTGCTGTGGAATGGAAGACTGAATTTAGGGTGCACAGAGACAGCAGTCTTTCTAACTTTCAGATTCTGTCACAAAGTTAAGTTTACTGCTGATGACTGACTCGCAGAAGTTCCTGAATAAACTGGGGTGGTGGGTACTGGAGACAAATGTGAAGGGAAGTAAGATCTAAATTCAGTTCTTTGAATTATGGTCATTTGGCAAGATTACTTTGATACTCTGGGATTCAAATCCCCAAACTAGGTTATATTGCCAGGAGGAAACAAGAACTGATTTTATCCCTCAGTCATCTCTCTCATTTTTGCCTTCAGTTTTGGATTTCTACATTTCTTATTTCCTGTTCTCCCATTAAAGCTTTTAGTTTTACTACCACTTATCACATAAATATATTGACCAGAAATCACCAAGAAAATGTTTGAAAGGTGTTGCTGTCACTAAATGCACCCAATATGCAAGTATCAGCTGAGAACATTTTTTTTTACTTATCTAGATGATTACCTCATTTTAAAAACAAATGTGTCACTGTAAAACACATAATTCAAATATGTTAGAATACTGACTGGTGTAAATCTCCTACAGAGCTATGTTGGGCTACTCCATAGACAGTATTACAAAAGGACTCCATTATTGCAATAAATTGAGTTCACAGTGAATATCTTAGCACTTAATATTACCCTGAGACTATTAGTAGTAGAACGTATGCATAAGGTATGTCAACAACTAGTTTTAAGCTCTTAGGGACAATAATTCAAACTGGCAACTGCTCTAGCAAAAGTGCTGCTAGGAATAAAAAAATATTATGTACATTTTGTTTTGACACATTATGGTTTATAGTACTTTTACAATGAACTAAATTAAATTCACACTAAACTTCTCTTGCTGGAACTAATGGACCTATTGAATGGGCTTTTGCTCCTTTAAATATTAGCCCAATCTTGAAAGCGGAAGCAATCACTTGCAATCTTCCACACAGTGCTGGTAGGAGTGCTATGGGCAGTCAGCAGGAAGTTCTGGTTGAAGAAGTGTTGTTTATTTCCATCAAACTTCACAGCTCCACTGGTCACAACAAGAACTGTAGTCTGGGACTGGGTAGCTTGCTCTTTAGCAACACAAACAAGAGAAAGATGTCAATTTACATGTCTAAATAAGCTTATAATGTAATGCTTAAGTTTTTTCATAAATGCTCTGCATTTTGAGCATGTATCCCAAAGTCAAAAGTTGAATATTTAAAAAAAAATATTAAGATGATTTCTATCCAGAAAGATTTATAGCATACTTTCAAGTTCTACAATAAGTATTATAAGTCTAACATGACCATTTGTTTCCTGTATGTATTAATATTTATTAGATATCTAACATCATTCATAGTTTGCGTCTTAGGCCATTCTTCAGGAGCTATAAGGGGAAAATACCATTATAAATAAGTATATAATATAGTAAGTACCCCATCTAGAGGTAAATATTGCACATTACATCAATCCATTCTGAATCAAATTCTGTCATATCCCAAGTCATTCTTTCACAGAATACAGTTGTCTGAAAAGTTAACAGGCCCTCAAACACATTAATCTATGATACAGCATAGATGGTTTTTTTTCTGTAGGCATTCTCCTTTTCAACAAAAATCACATTTAACTGCAATTTCTCATATACATTCTAATAACCAATAATCATAAACTGTCCCAAACTTATTGATAGTTCTTCAGAATGAAAAGCATCTAAAAGTCCAAAAGCCTGGCTGTCCCAAATATTTTTCGTGATACTTCATTTGCTCAAATATGCAAATCTATCTACGATTAAAGGTTACTGCTGCTTTGGGTATAAATCTCAGTATTTACTAGCAGCAAATAAAAGAGATACTTTGAAATATCATGATCTTACCATGAACTGGTTGGCAGTCCAACATGTTGATCTGGAACTCACTGGAAGGCAACATCTCAAAAAATTTAGTAAGGGCTTCCAGCCCTGTAACAACATTTCCATTCCAGATGAGAGTGGCCTTGTCCAAGTACAGCCTGGTAATTGCCTAAAAATAAAAGAAAATGTATAAAAAATGGACTTCTCTGCAATATTTTCTAGAAATGCATTAAAAGATTATACATGGAATGCGAGTATTTTCATGACTGCCTCCATTTCCACTTCCTTTGCCCCTTGCTACTAGAAAAACAATGTGACAGTGATATCTATCTTGACTTACATAGGTATTATATGACTATAAACCTGGCAATTCATACATTTTTAGTATTTGCACTGTAGCTTCAATGAGAAAAACTTGCATCCCTCAAATAGTAAGAGTTGTAAAGTTTTGCTATTTTAAAATCAATTAAGTGATCACAATTGCCAAGCACATCCAGTCTCAAACTCATTTTTAATTTCTCATTTCCAATTCAGAGAATTAAGCCCTAATCTCTTTAATTCTAGAGACTAAATACACATGAATCAGTTGATACTTTTATGCTAGCAAGAACTCATTATTTTTTTTAAGTATTGGCATAGTGAGTGCAAAAGACTTACAGAAGTACTTACAGCAGAGTGATGACAAGTGTGACAAGGTCCAAATGAGACAAAATCTAACCGGTTTAACTCTTGTAGGTCAAGTGACACATTACTTGTTTTATTCTCAAAAATTAAGTTGAATTAAAAGGATTGCACATGCCCTTGCACTGATAATAAACTATATTACCTCACTTTACTTTTGCCCTGCCTCCCAGGCTGGCCTCAAACTCAGGATCTTGTCTCAGCCTCCTGAATGCTAGAATTACATATATACCAATGAAGCTTGGCTCTCTTGCATTCACAGGGTTTTACTGTGTTGCTCTGGGTGTCCAGGAATTCACTGTGTAGATCAGGATGGCCTTGACTTTTAGAGTTCTGCCTGCTTCTGCCTCCCAGGTGCTGGGATTTTTTTAAAAAAAAAAACAAAAAAAACAAAACCCTGTGCTACTAAATCTGAAGGCTACTTTAGTTTTGAAAGCACCAATACAGGACAAATGACAAATATTCATGACAAGGGACAGTAAGCACCCATTGTCACAGTCTTTTCCACCCCCAGGTCCATGAGAGCAATAGTAACATATTTTATCTTCTTTCTTAAAGAAAGGTTTTTTTGTTTGTTTGTTTAATAATGAAGGTGTCCTGTACTGGTGGAAGACCAAGGCAAGGCTATTTATTTGTTCACATACTGAAGTAATTCCTTAAAAATAGTAAATTACAATGAAAAAAATTGATGTGAGACCTTGATCTGGTAAAAACTAGAAGCATCTAGATCACATGGATCCTTATTGTGAATATCAGCTGTAACTATGAACCTTAATTGGAAACTTTCTATTAGAAGAGAAAATAAAAGAGGAAACCCTTGAAATTCCACACCAGCAATATTTAAATATGTTAATTCAAGGGAAAAAAAATCAACTATTTAAGTACAGGTATGCTGAGACCCAATGTTATATGAAGTATTTAAATTAATTCCTGAGCTGGAGATATAGCGCAGTGAGTGGCAGAGTACTTGCTAAGGCCCTGAGTTTTAATTTCCAGCATTGCAAAAAAATTTTCCTACTTAAAGTTAAATGAGAACTGGGCAGCAGTGTCGTATGTTTTTAATCTCAGCACTTGGGAGGCAGAGGCCAACCTGGTCTACAGACTGAGTTCCAGGACAGGTTCCAAAGCTACACAATAAAAACCCCATATCAAAAAACAAAAACGCCGGGCGTGGCACACGCCTGTAGTTCCCGCTACTCTGGAGGCTGAGACAGGGGGATCGCTTGAGTCCAGGAGTTTTGGGCTGTAGTGCGCTAAGTGGATAGGGTATCTGCACTAAGTTGGGAATCAATATAGTGATCTCCCGGGAGCGGGGGAACCACCAGGTTGCCTAAGGAGGGGTGAACCGGCCCAGGTCGGAACGGAGCAGGTTAAAACTCCTGTGCTGATCAAAAAACCAAACCAAAAAAAAAAAAAAAAAAAAACCCAAAAAAAGAAAAAGTAAAATGAAGTTAAGAAAAGTTGGGACTCAGCCTTAGAGCACAGTACTAGGTAAAAACAAACTTATGATATGATTCTAGAGCTGACATCTCTACTATAGGCTTATACAGCCTATAAGCAACTTACTTTGTTTTCTTATTATGGTTTTTAACCACAATATAATAAAAGGGGGTTCCTTTTTTGGCAGGTTATGTATTCCCTAGGGCAAAATATTTTTTTTTAGCAACAGAAAAAGTATTATCTTTTAATTAAAAAATTATTTCGAAATTCTGAAACTAATTATGTCATAGTACGTGTGGATAAATACACCAATTTCCCCGTACTCTTCATATATAAATTCAAAGTTTACATGTATTTATTTTTTGATCACAAAGGATATTCCCTTTGCATTTCAGCCTGCCTTTTGCAAGTAGCTTTTAAATTTAAACTAGTGTAACTCTTATGCACCTGCCTCTGATGCAGCCCACAGCGGGGGGGGGGGCAATTCTCCCACTCTCAGGACCTCAGATCCTGGTCCCCCACACTTACATTGTCAGGGTTACCTCAATTGTTTTGTCTAGGCAAGGTATGGGAGAGGGGGGACACCCTCTCCCCTGATTGCTTTATGGGGTATATAGAGGACAGGGTCAGTTCTCCTGCTCTCCTGCCCTCAGGGCTGGCTAACCTGTGTCTCCAACAACAGAGTCAGCTCTACTGCACTTCCCAGGCAGGGTCCTACTCAATTATTTTATCTGAGGTCCAAATAACTCCCAACTCTTAGAGATTTAGAAAACAAGTCTGAACTGTTGTAATTCTTTGACTTTTTCAAAATATTTTAATCATAGCTGGGTGTTGGTGTATGCCCTTAATCCCAGCACTAGGGAGGCAGAGGCAGGTGAGTTTGAGGCCAACCTGGTTTACAGAGCGAGTTCCAGGGCAGTCTCCAAAGCAATAGAGAGAAACCCTGTCTCGAAAAACAAAAACAAACAAAAAACAAAAATTAATCACTTAACTGTATTTTTAATACCAAAACAAAAAAGTATCTGTTTCATTTAAGAACACTCAAAAGTTGATGTCCAAGTTGGCATGGACTATGTGGCAATCTACACTCTAATGTTCTAACATGGAATAAAGACACATGGTTCAAGAAAACCCATTTTGTATTTCATTCCAGTAAGGCGAGTGCGCCTTTGGTAAATTACCATTTTAAAAATATTATTATTTATAATTTAATTTTTCATGCCCAATCAAATGAAAGGCATTTCTTAGTCTTTAGAAGTTAGTTTGGACTGAATGACCAAGCTGTGTGATGAACTATCACTCCCCTTATTCAGGAGGGCTCTCCTGTTTGAATCTAATCTTTATCAATCTTAATTGTATTCACAGCTTTTCTGCTCCTGAGGAAACAGAGGCAAAACCTCTTCCCTAGTAACACATATCCTGGCTTCCATTCTAAGGTCAATGTATCTTTAAAATATATATATGCATACCATCTGAAAAGACCACTTCCTTAAATCTCATCAAATCCAACATTTCTATCGAATTCCATTTAACTTCTTCATAACCTTAGGAATGCCTATTGTCTGCTGCTAGCTCTTGAATAATAACTGGATAAGCTAAGGTTGGCTTTCTAACAACTTTATCCACCCCTCTTCAGTTTCAATATGGAATAGTGTGGTAGGTTCTTGTCTAAATTTCTCTGTGTCTGAGTATTTTTTTTATTTTCATTTATGTCTTTCTAAGGCTTGTATCTTATCAATCCACTTTTCATACTTGGCACAAAAAAACACTGTGGCTCTAAAGGATAAAATATCAATTTCCAGACTGATAGTAACTAAAATCAATTATAATGACAATCTCAGTTAAGTCATTTATCTTTTCATTTTCTGCTTCTATTTTGAAGCTATTTAAAGTAGCAATATTCAGGGTTCTAAGACACTGTATTACAATATTTCCCATCCTTAACATGGGGAAGAATTTTCCTTTTAATATTATGTTTCTCTCCTTGAGGACTCCCTAGGTATATTACCAAATTTGATGGCTTCTTGGTTTGTCCTCAGCAGGCATGACTGCTCTGGTCATGTGGCTGTGCCCCACATTGGATGAAAAATGTTGCTAACAAAATCTTAATCATTTGATATTTATCAATAAAGACTCAGGAGCCAGATGCTGGGGTGAAAGCCTGATAGCTCAGAGAGGCAGAGAAAGCACTCAGCTGACTTTCCTCCTCAGCCAACAGCCCAGAAGTCTCCCTCAACTCCTATGCCTTCTCAAACAACATGCCTCAAACTGAATGTCCCTCTCTTCTGTTTCCTGTATGTCTCTCTATCCATCTTCCTGACTCCCTCTTACTCTACATGGTTTTATCTTGATAATTCTATGTTTACTTCCTGCCAACTTGTTGATTACTCTGCCTCTTGACCTATGGTTAACTTTATTTAATCCTATTTACAATATTCAAGCAGAAAACACTTGGGTTAAGGTGTATGCTAAGATTGAGCCACACCACAACTAGAAACAGTTTTTTTCCAATAAATAATGCAATTTTGGGGTTCACAGTGTGATCAAATATCCTATATTATACTTTATTATATAAAATAATTTTTAAATTTAAATATATTTTTGATCATATTCTTCCTCTCCCCCAAGTCCTTCCAGATCCTATCCATAGTCAAGTAGCAGTTTCTCAAAAAACCAACCAAACAAAAACCCAACACAACAAAACCCTCAAAACCAAGAAATCAAAATAAAGCACCCAAATAAGAAAAAAAAAAAAAAACCATCAAACTGTAAACAAGTGAAAACAGCTCTTAAAGAATGTGTGCACAGTAATTACATATGTAGGTCAGGTAAATGATATTTAAACAAAGAGCAAGAGAGACTATAAAACTTACATGTCTTCTTTTGTCCATTGTCTCATAGTAAATACTGGCAAATTCCTCAGCAGCTCTACACGCCTGATCCACATAAGTTTTAAAATCCTATGAGAACATTTTCACAAAGGTAAATCATAATCCCACCAATCTTCCACAAGTACAAAATAGGTAACAAATATTGTCAATTTATATTCATTACTATAAAGCCATATGCAAAATCCGGTATCACATAAATTTGAGTAATTTTAAAGGTCAAGGCACAAATGTTTTCAGCTTTAAAAACAAACTGTAGCTAGTTTTTTAGATCTATGTCTTTAGAACATATTGATCTCCTCTGTTTTTACTATTCACATATAACTCTGGAATCTTTGCTTGGCAACTAAGTAAAGAAAAATTTAGTATTTTACAAAGCACTCACCTACAAAAGGATACCATAGGAATAGTAACTTGGAAGCAATTGATGGGTGTGGGTGGAGACCAGGTATTGAGGGGTGGGCAGTCACTGAGTAAGAGCTAATTTTCAACTTATGACCAAGTTTGAAAGTTCTTTCCTTCTTTTTAAAAGTATGACTTGAAAGTCTAAGCAGTCTCACTTAGAAATTTTTCTTACATTATATAAACATTCACTGGTGTTTGTATATGAATTGTAAAAACTAAGAAATGAAACTACTCAGAGCATTCTCACATGATTCCTGATTAAATAACTTTGCCCCAACCCTTTTACTGAGAAAATCCTATTCCTTAAAATAAAAATAATTGCCATTTGTGGGTGATCAGAAGGTTCAGATTTTTAAAGCGTCTGACACTATAAGCCATGGATACCTTTGCCCCCATCCTCCTCTCTGCGATCTTTTCTAGGAAGTGGGGGAGCAAGCCCCGCTGCACCAGGGGCTGGTGGGCCAGAAGAGGATTCGCTGGCTGCTCACGTGTCCAAGCTCCTTGCTTTTGTGTTTAAGTTCTTGCCTTCCCCTCCCTTCTGCTGCTCATGCCCTAGCTCCTCAACATTCCATGGTATAACACACTCACCATAGCCATGGCCATTGGGGAGCTTGAAATGGTTTGCTCCGTCAGGGGAGGGGTCACTACCTCCTCACGTGTCCCGTTCTTTTGGCTGCAAAAGGATGAAATGTTTAGTCAGAAAATAAACCCGACAAAGGCAGATTTTTTTCAACCTGCCCATTGTATCCTAGTGTTAAAATCCCCTCAATGTTCCAACTTTAAGCAGCTGTTGCCTTCAGTTCCAACTGATCCCAGCCATCTGTTTTAATTACTTGCAAACTGTTTATTTAGCATAAGAGAAACAAACAAAAACAAAAACCAACCAACCAAAACAAAACAAAACCACACAACACAAACAAAACAACCCTTGCCCAGTGACCTGACCTGGCACAAGTTAAAAATCAAAGGATATAATTATAGGGTGGCATTATCCCATGAGGCGGGACCAAAACTTGAGAACCAATGAGAAATGGAAAAACCTAGGTTAGTAGCCAATAGGAAAAAGGGGCAGAACTCAAAGGACCCGCTCAGAAAAACCGCCTACTGCACGAGGGCCGTTTAAAATGTAAAGTTCTAGAACATTCTCCATTCTGAGCCTCTGCTACTAACGCCGTAGCTGGGTAACCAAAATTTTCCCAATGTTTAAAACACAAATATTTTTACTAATTTCCTTCACACTGAGGGGATTAAATGTCAAGCACCGCCCCTTCCCACCAAAGAAATCCCACCCCAAACCAAAACCTAACACCTATGGTATATCGTGTATGATTTTTACAGCTTACTCAGAACAGCCTGACCAGAACAGTTTAGTAGTGACTACAAGCACTTTTCTAAGTATTTTTATCCATATTCAATTATTTATGGCAACTATGAGTTAAATGCTATTTTATCATCACATTATTAAAACAAACTGTGATTAAACAGTGTTTAGCTAAGATTTAAGCTCAAGTAATGATAATGTCATGGCAAACTGTTTCAGTACCCTGGCGCCATTTCTTTAAACGGTTAAATCACAAAGTGGTCACGACAGACTTTCAAACTTTGAATCAAATATTTCTGTAAACTTACGATCTGTAGCTTGTTTGTGACTCCCGAGAAGAATAGCCAGATCTTCCATAGTGTTTGTCACCATGGGACCAGTCATTACTATATTTTTTCATAGTTTGATTCTCTGTTGAGCGCTCAGGAATGTACGCACAACAACCGCTTTCTTCTCCGGCTGAGACTCAGCTTCAGTTACTTCCGGTTTGGCTGCTATGATGCTTACTGCCTTTACTCGTATTACTTCCGGGGCACTATTCCCATGTGACGTTCCACTGCTCTTTATATGGTAATGAACTACACTTTCTTAACTTTGGTTCTACTTATATGGAGCTCAAATTATACATATGGAATCTTGCTAAGAGTGATAATGATAATGTTCTGCATGTTTCTCATATTTCTCAGACTCTCAAATCCATAATTTAAATTGTTTTTTTTCAGTTTATTTCTAATCTATATTTTCTCAGTTAACTATGCATGAATCTGCATTATTTATTGATTGAGGTTTGGTTCTCTTTTTATTGTTCATTCGTTCAACAATTGGCTCTCCTTTTATTGTTCATTCCTTCAAAAATTTTTATAATCATTTACTGTGCTCCCAGCATTATGTAAAGTTCTCGCTACCGAACAGTGAATGTAGTGGACATAATACCCTTACAAAGCTTACAGACTAACAAGAGTGACAAACAAGTAAGTATTAATATATTTTAAAGGAATTCCAAATAATGAATTCAGAGTAGCTAGTTTTGGCCCTTCTGTAAAACATTTTCTACCTCATCTTTCTGTGTCTCTACCTTTCTAATCCCTCTTCCTTTTTCTTTTTCTTCCCCCTCAATTTTACCTTTTCAAAGTTTAGTCACTCCATCCCAATAATTCTCCTAATATATAAAGCCTACTTTGATGTGGTTTTATTTTATTTTTCCCATAGTTTTATCCCAAATTTTAAAAAAAAGACTAATAAACCACACATTTCCACAAAATGACGCCTGATCATTGTTAAATTGGTGTTGGCTTTTTTTGAATGAGGGAAGGTATTTTATGATTTCAACCAATCCTTACAAATCACAGAAATCGATATTAATATGACACTTTTTTTAAAGAATTTGAGATGAAGCTCAAAGAGCAAAACAAAAGCCTTTGCTATATGACACAGCTCTGGACTGGAGAAATAGCTCAGTGGTTAAGAATATTGGGTTCAGTTCCTAGCACCCATAATAGTCTGCTTGCAACCGTCTGTAACTCTAGTTCCAGGAGATCAGACATCTTCTGTCTTTTTCTGGCACCTGCATGCATGTGGTACATCTTTATACATTCAGGCACACTCATATATATATATATATGTATATATATATATATATATATAGAAATTTTAAAACAAGATGACACAGCTATTGAACCCAGAATTTCAGCCCCAAATTGTCTGATCAAAACACACTGTCCTATTTATTCATTTACTTATATATTCTTATTTCTTAGTTCTTTTTGATTTGTTTACTATTTCTTTTTTATTTGTTTACCCCCATTTCTATCTGTCCTTCAGGGATCTGGGCAAGTCTGATCATTTTTGTGAAGCTTTCCCTCATTTCAATTTTCTAGAAACATAGTATATAGGATGCTACTCTTGGGATCATAGAAGTGGCTATTGGGATGGACAATAGTGCTAAAGGAGTAGAGAAGTGCTGTGATTTGGGAGAGGGATATTTGAGTTAGAGGAGGAATGGAAACTCAGAGTTTTACACTGATTTTTATTGCACTATGCCAAGGTGCCACAAAAGTGTGAGACTGGGTAAAAAGATAACGTAGAAACAAATGTTGGGCTCTGATTGTTGGAGCTATTAATTAAAAACACTTGAAAAGCAAATTAGGTGTGTGTTGGGGCAGGGAGGACAATAAAACAACCTATGGAAAAGAAAACACCAGGTGGGAAATAAGGTTCATCTTCATTAGATAATTGTGCAATTGTTTAAAATCTGGAGAGTGACTAGGAACTGCTTTTTATGAATCAAAATAACACTGTGCTTAAGCACAGTATTTTTGCCTTCAGTCTGAATTTAGATTCTAACCATGCTGCTGACTTTGAAGAAATTACCTATGTATTACAAAACTCTGGTCTTTCAACATGTAAAATGGAAATAATATTAGTATATATTTCAAAACATTGCTGGGGTAGACAAATTGTTTTATTGGGAAAGGAGTCTGGCACCAAAACTTATGAACCTCAGTTCAGTCCCCAGGATGCATATGGTAGAAAGATTGAATGAACTCCTACAATTTATCATCTGACCTCCAGTGTTTATTGGGAGCAAGTCACAGAAAGGAATGGGGAGATGGAGGTCAAAGTACACAAAGTAGCAGTCTAGAGAGCTAACTCATAACACAAGCTTCTAGTTAATAGTAGTATATTTTATTCAGGAATTGGGAAAAGAAATAGATTGCAGATGATTTTGTCATAGAAGGAAATTGAGTAACTGTGGGTACAGTGTCTACCTTCAATAGACACAATGGAATTTATATTTAAAAGAGTCTCTACTAATCACCCTTTTATTATTTATATACTCATTTTTCTAGTAGATTTGACATTCCTGTGAATAACATTATATGATTTCCACATATTTAACACCCTAACCACTGACACTCGGTAAAAACCTTATAGAGTATGTGGCTGAAATTGAGTGACCAAATAAAATTTCATCCTTTTGTAAACCTCCATACATGCCCATTCTGAATCCATTCTGAAAGAAGTGAAGGTGAGAATTAATTCCCTGTAAAGGGACTTTTTTTCTTCCTGTGACACAGAAGTGAGAGCATAATCCATTTTCACCTCATTACATTTCAATTGCCTCCTCTACAGGGCATTCACAAGTCTTATCTCCAAGAGAGAACTATTCTTTCAACTCCCTGCTGGAACTTGGCCTTCAATTAATTATTTTCAGAATAAAAACATGTAATAAGGCTTTTGTATTGGTTGAGCTCTCTGGTTTCAGGAAGTCTTGCTGAGACTCTGGTTCATCCAGTCAGCAGATTTCTTAGAAAAATATGATGACGATTGTTAAGATATTGCCATGGAAGTGTCTGGCAGAGATGTGCATTTAATTAACAAGATGACAAACTAAAATCTGAAAAATTCCTTATCTTGCTTTGCTCTACCAGTGAAGTCTTCTTCATACTAAGTATCCATTTCCTTTGTATTCTTTCCTTCCTATCAAGTCCCAAACTTCACCCTTCCACAAACTTGTCAAAACAAAGAATTATGAAGACAATACATGACACTTTTCTGCCTGCCTTTCCAAACAGAAAGAGTATGTGGTTATGGACCTAATGTCATGGTTCAGATTTTCTGTAACCCTTAATTATACTTTATGATATTAACACAAATCTATTAATGTTTTAAGTAACAAAGTATTTTATGGTAATAAGGATTGAACCCAGTATATCATCTGTGCTAGATAAACACTCTACCACTGATTTATGTCCCTAAATAATATTTTGTAGTATTTGTCTGGCATAACTTCATTCCATCATTTTATTTTCAATGACTCTGAGTCCTAGTATTGATATGTTGCCTATTTAAAATTGCTTATAATAACAAGAAATAAAGAAAAAGATGTCAGAGGTCATGAATTTGAAAGAGAGCACGATGTGAGGACAAACATGGGTGGGGTTGGAGGAAGAAAAGGGAAAGGTGGAGATAATGTAATTATATTTTAATTTAAAATGAAAAACTGAACATATTTTATGAGTGTCTGCCAGGAAATGTTCATTAAAACAAACAAACAAAAACCCCTAGTGGCAGCTGTGTGTTGTGGTAGTACCTACCTGTAGACCCAGTACTTGGGAGGCTAAGGTAGGAAGAACACTAGCTTGAGACCACCCTGTGCTAAATAATGAGCTCCAAACCAGTCTTGGCTACATAGTATGACCCTATCTTAACCTAGTACTCAAATGTGGATATAGCTACTGTATTAGTGAGAGTTCTACAGAGTAATAGAACTTACAGAATTTATCACACTCACACACACACACACATACACACACACACACACACACACACACACACACACACACACGATTTACTAGAATGACTTACAGGCTGTGGTTCAGCTAATCCAGCAATGGCTTCCTTTGTACAGAAGGTCCAAGAATCCAGTAATTGTTCAATCCATGAGGCTGGATGTGTCACCTAGTCTTCAGTATACAGGAGTATCCCGATGGATTCAGTTTTATGATAGTGAAGGAATGGACTTGCTAGTGAGGTGAGAGCAAGCATCAAAGAGTAAAATCTTCCTTCTTCCACCTGTGGCCCAGATTATAAGTGGGTCTTCCCACTCAAAGATTTGGATTAGAATTGGATCTTTCCACTTCACGTTAAGCAAAAATCTCTTTCAAGTGTGCCCCTCCATTTGGGGGTTTTAATTAATTTCAGTTGTGGTCAAGTTAACAATCATGAGCAAAGGGATCAAGACCAGCCTGGAGAAACCCACAGAAACAGCTGAACTGAACAAGAGGGAGTTCATATACCCCAGTCTGATAGCTGGGAAACCAGCATAGGACTGACCCAGGCCACCTGAGCATGAGTGTTAGCTAGGAGGACTGGGCAGTTTAATGGAGCCTCTGATAGAGGGATACTCTCAGCCTAGACACACGGGACAGGGCCTGGGCCCTGCTCCAAATGATGTGACAGACTTTGAAGATCCCCCCTGGAAGGCCTCACCCTCCCTAGGGAGCAGAAAGGGGATGGGATGGGGGTTGGGAGGGTGAGGGAACTGGGATTGACATGTAAAACAAGCTTGTTTCAAATTTAAATAAAATATTATCAAAAATGAATAGTCATCATAATTACAGTAGTTTTCATAATGTTGAAGTGTATTTTTCCTGGGTTTTATGTGTATGCTCATTTAAGGATTATATCAAAATGGAATAACTGCATGGTTCCTGAAAGTTCCTTCCTGTGCGTTCCAGTACATATTTCCCAAAGGTACCTATAATGACTTCTCTGGTTATGGACAGGTCTTGACAGTTATTGATCTTCATATAAATGACTTACATAGTATACATTTTTCAACACTTGTTTTTTAATATAAGTTAAAATTTTTAATTGACTAATAAGGGCTGGAGAGAT